CGGTTCCTCGCGCCGTGGCCGGTTAATCGCTATTTAATCAACATTCTCGCCATTCATTAACCGACTGACTCTCTCTCTCTCGCCCGTCCCCCGAGAGCGGCCGAGCGGTTTCTCGCCGTAGACGCCGTTCGAGACGACAGCTACGCTGCCGCGTCGAACCACCCCCGAGGATTTTTGCCTCATTAGTTAATCGCCGGGCGACGAAATTTCATCACGGGTCCCGCGCGGTTGTAACGACCGCTCGTAACGCCGATGCACTCTGCGGAGCAACCGAGCTACGATCTCAGAGTGATGTATGAAGGGGAAGCGGTGAATGGTAGCTCCATTCTCGCGATTTAACTGCATCGATATCTCGCTAAAAGTATCGCGCCCGTAACGCTCCGCCGCGATAAATTCGTTACTTTCTCTCTCTCTCTCTCTCTCTCTCTCTCTCTCTCTCTCTCTCTCTCTCTCTCTCTCTCTCTTCCTCCCTCGCCCGCTCTACCCTAGATAAGATACATTTTTATTCCATTTTCGGCCGAACGCGTAGATAAAATGTTTTCGCAACGCGTAATATTTTGCACCGGCCTGCATTTAGACGCTCGATTTAACTGAAATGCGAGCGCGCGTGATAAAGAGTAACTCTCTCGCCGGCCGCCGCCGCCACCCTCTCGTACGCACTCGGTGCGAGAACCTGATGCGCGCCGTGGCTGTATAAAAATCCGGACGGTAAATTTGGTCGTAATAATGATATAAGATCGCGGAAACGACAGCCGCTTCGCTGTCGGAACTTGCGTACGCGCGAACTTGCGCCGTCGAGGAAGGATGCAAAGTGCAAAGAAAGAAAAGAAGAGAAAAAAGGAGAAACGAGCGTGCCTCGTCATTATTCAGTGTTCAGCGGCCGCTCGTCAACAACGCCTCTTCGTCGTCGTCGTCGTAGCTCGATTAACGAGCGCGTAAGAAGCTGAATAATGGAGAATCAAGTTTATGCAGCTACCGCACACAATACGACGTTACTTCTATCGAGATCGCGGGACCGATTCCTTCGCAGCGGCAGTTGTGTTACCGAAATCGAACGCGGTGCTCGCGTGTGCGTGTGCCCGTGTGCGTGCGTGCGTGTGCGTGTGTGTGTGTGTGTGTGTGTGTGTGTATGGAGGGTAAGGTTCGCCGCGTGCTTCGAATTTCGACGAGCAGCCGCGCGCGCGCGCGCGCGGGGAGTATCTCTCTCTCTCTCCCTCTCCCTCTTCTTCCCTGTCTCTTTCTCTCTCGATCCTCCGAAATAAAATCACTGCGCGTTATCGCCGTTAACGATCCGGATAGAATATCGAGGATCGCGTAACCGCGCGGCGGTATCTCCGTTGCGCGGTCGCAATTTGCCGTAACTGTTTCTCGGAACGGCAGTTTTTCCTCCGTTTTTCTCCTTTTCCTCTCGTTCTGTGCGGATGCACATTTATTAGCGCGACCGTGCGCCCGCCCGGGTACACGGAAAAGTGCACGTGGAAAAGGTAACGTCCGCGGGCTTCGTCGTCGTCGGTGCCTTGCGACTTCGTCGACCTGGCCGGCTGCAGCAATGAGAATAAGCGGCTCGGCGGGATGATAACTCATGAGAGAAATGTAAAAGATAAGTCGGCGGCCGTGATCGTTCCGTTTCCGCGCGCGTCGCTCGTAAACCCGCGCGAGCGAATGAAGGGATACAAACTGCCAAACGACACGACCATTGAATTTGCAGCGCGAGGAGGCTCGCGCACGCATCCGTCGTGCAACATTGTTCCCGCGACGCCGTCTTCGAGTCAGCGCTGCTCGAGTGCGCTAATTGATTATACATTTTTCATTCAGCGCAACTCACAAGGAAATCCCGTGCGAACGTATACTCGTGCTACGCAGCGAGGCATTCTTTTCGCACGTCGGCGACGTCAGCGGGTAATTTATATTAGGCGAACAATGTGTGAAACGCGCACACAGGACTTTCCTGTCCTGTCGACGTTCACTCGTCGCGGGCGACATCTCGAGTACGTTCCTAGCCTGATTAATCCCGAGACGAAATTACCTTCGATGAGGTACGCGAGTCCACATCGCGTATGCTCTCCCTCCCTCTCTCTCTCTCTCTCTCTCTCTCTCTCTCTCTCTCTCTCTCACCGTGGGCCGATACAAATGGCCTTCCGACGCCCACTCGGGGTGCCGTCCTTAATCGCGGCAACCAGATCGATCATTCGCTGCGACCGGCCGCGATCCTGCGCGATAATTAATATCCGGACGTCGCGATTTACGCGACGCGTGGATAACAATCGTGGCAGCGCGGTGCGAAGGAGAACGAGGAAACGTGCGAGAGAGAGAGAGAGAGAGAGAGAGAGAGAGAGGGAGAGAGGGGGGGAGAGGGAGAGGATAAAAGAAATAAAGAGAAGCACGAAGAAGGGCCCGCCGGCGCAGCGAGGGCGCATCGGCGCGCGAGTCCCGGACGCGCGTGCCTTTATTAAACATCGCGTTTAAGTGACTCCGGTAACGGAGAGCGAGGCGCATCATCGGCGCTAACGAGCGGCCACGACAGCGCTCTAACGAGGCGCGCGCCGCCCACGCGGTTTTCAGGCTTTCAGGCATCGCCAGGGCGACCGACGACGACGACGACGACGACGACGTCGTCGTCGTGGCGACTCCCACGGTATGTATATGTGTATGTATATGTGTATGTGTGAGTGTGTGCAGCATCGGCCTGGCGCCGCGCCGTACCGTCGCTTTTCCACGAAGTCCAATATATACCAGCACCGTTGTGACAAAACTGTAAATTGAATATCGATCGCGGCGCGCGAGCCTGTAACTTACACGTTCGGTACGTTTCTGTGCCATGTCGCCGGCCGTTATAAGCCTCCCGCCTTGATAATGAGTTCCGGCGACTTCGATGGCTCGGGTAACGCGAGGACGAATCGTCGTCGATAGCGCACGGCTGGGTGTCAATCGAGCGGAATAATGACACATTGCGAGCCGGAGGATACCACGAACGCGGACGTCGTAAACACGATAATGTGACGCGTACAGAGTGACTCTCGCGCGCAAAAAGCCGCGGCGGAAATAATTTATTTTCTCTTCCCGCAGTGGCGGTCGACTGGGGGGGGACATTGCGAGGGTCGGTAACGTCTCGGTGAATTAAGAAACAGAGCGGTTATACTATTTTAATTGAAATCATTGTAATAGAGTATCGCCGGCATTGCGCATAGTTCCTTTAATATCCCTTCGATGAACAGGTAGTAAAAAAGGAGGGGAAAAAGGGAGAGAAGGAGGAAAAGGCACGAAGAGGAGCGCCGTTCGCGTGCGTGTGTCCCATTTTTCCTGCGCCTCGACGATCTCACGACGCCCGTGATTCGCCCGAAACGTCGCGGGGCTGTCTCGATTTTGAAAACGACACGCCAGGTGGAAGGAAAATCGCGGACGACTGCCGACTCGCGCGGCATCGATCCGCGCGAGGACGACGAGGACGGAATCGACGGCGTGTGGGAGAAAAACGGGAACGGAGACGAAAACGAAGAAAGGAAAAACGTGTCGGCGGCAACGTTTCGCGTGCGAGGCGCGTGTTTTAGGCCGGTGCCGTGTCCTTCTTGAATCGCGACAAAGTAGCGCGACTCGCGCGCGCGCGGCGAGTTGCTGCTTGTGATCACGCGATACGCGACGAAGACGGAGACACACGCGCGCTGGGACCGAGTGGCCCACGAGAGACGACGAACGACGTCGATCGACCGATCGATCGATCGATCGATCGACCGTTGAAGGTTACAAAACTCGTCGTCGCGTGAAAGAAAAACTCGACGCGCGCGCTCTCGCGTATAATGCAAACGCGGTCCGCAATTTCATACGAAATTGCCGCTCATTACGTCGCTATTACGACAGTCCGGAGAACAGTCGTACTTTTCAATTAGTTGGCGGTTTTTGTCGCGCGGCAAAAACACGCCAGTCCGCGCGAGCATTCGCTTGCGCTGCACGCAGCGCGAGGGGACGGAGGTGTACGCGAAAAACACGGGCGAAACACACGATCCTTTTACTTCACGAATAACACGCGACATTTTTGCGCGGACGAGCGAGAAGCGCGAGCCTCGTGCAAGCGGTAGTACGCAGTTTGCGGTTTTCTCGGATTCTGCTGCTCTCGGATGGCCTGGTAACAATCATAGCCGAGAATAATCGACGCCATCAATGATACTGTGCATTAATTAAAATCGCCAAAGAGCGCACGAGTAGTGCTCACCGCGCGCGCGCATTATCGGCAGTTCGCTATTATCCGAGTGATTTAATAGTCGATTGTAAGTTTAAAATGATCGTTATCGCTCGCCGAGAGACCCCGTGCCGATATCGGTACGAGAGAACATTGTTGTTTCTTAAAAATATTAATTCCTCAAGAAATCTTTGCTTGTCCGCCTCTTGTCGTATGTATGTATATATGTTTTTTTTTTTTGTAACTTTTGTGCCTTATATTACTCACATATCTGAAATCGAGATTTTATATTCATCAGAGATTACGATCTTATATATCATAAGAGCTCAAAGTAATACCTATTCAAGATATGTATGTACGTAGCGTACAAGTTTCCGCAGGTAAAACTTAAAGCTACAAAAGAGGTGTGATACATCAAAAATATAAAACTTACCTTTTTAAACAAAAAAGGCGCACTTCGTTGCGCCGAACTTGGCGCGAGGCGCTACTACCGTGCTTCTCGATACAAAAAATATCTTTGGCTTTTCGAATTCATGAGGATCATTTGGAGGATTTACGGGGAGGAGGGGGAGGGGGCGGGGGCGGGGGGAATCCCTCAAGAGAAAGGCAGAGTTTCTTCGTGCTTGCGCGGCTGGACAGACTTCGTCTCTGAATTCGTGTCGAGCAGCCGACGTTTTAATCCAACGGTGCGTGGCACTCTCGAAACGTACGTGTCTATAAATACGCGTCAACATGTCCGATTTCGCCCGGGAGTTTCTCGATAGACTAGATTCGCTCGCAAGATCGGTAATCCCCTGGCTGGCGAGACAACGGCTGTGCGCGCGATTATTACGGTCCAGTTGGCAAGATCAAATCGCGAATGATCAAACACGTGTCACTCACCGTGCATATCGTTGGCGTCTGTCCATGGACTTTGTTGCTGTTGGAAGGTGGCTCCGGTCCCTTCGGCACGTCCAGATGCGTTCGAGACGGCAGAGGCGACGACGTAGGAACGTTGCTCGAATTCGGTACGTGACTCGTCGGCAACGGCGCGCCGAGCGGTAGATCCGGCCGGAAAAACCACGTGGGCCACTGCAACAGGCAGAAAAAGAAATCGCATAAGTCCCGTGTCCGCCATACTGCCGCGTTCCACCTAGCGTTTCCATGTCGGGCTAAAATATATAAAAGATAAAAGAAGATGCGACTAGGTATCTCTAAATAAATATTCTCGCACGTGCGATAACACGTAATCTAACAAAAGCAGTTTTACGTACGAGCGCTTGAACAAACGAACAGCTATTTCGACGAAATATTTTCATCGAACGATCCAGTCTCATCCTAAAAGCAGCGCAGATTTCCTCTCGCGACTACGAGAGTACTCTTGACCGAGTTCGAGAGAGGCCAATTTCTCTGTGACGGGAAATCACTCTGACCGGCCCCCGCCGTCCCGCCGAATCGCGCTCCTTTCAACTTCGTTGAAACATCAGATTCCTCGGAAGTCAAATTCGAGCTCGGAAGAGCGCGATAGAGAGCGAGATCGTATTATTAATAAGCGAGCTCATCTTCGCTCGCTGCTGTCCGCTGCTTCGCGATGCGCGCGCGGCGGACCCTATAAGGGCCCTCCGTCGTTTCGGCGGATAAAGGTCTCACTGTGAACGGGGCATTGGAGTGTCGCGCCGCCGCTGAATACGAGCAGCTCTCTCTCTCTCTCTCTCTCTCTCTCTCTAAGATAGATGACATAAGCCCCTGACCGTGTAAGAAGCGCGCACTGGCCGAGCGCGCGTGTGGTCCATTGAAAGTGTTTCTTGCCGAGGGAACCGGCCGGCTGAGAGAAGAGAGCTCGCCATGGGATAGATCGAGAAAGAGAGATCGAGAGAAAGAAAGAAGGGGAGAGAGAGAGAGAGAGAGAGAGAGAGAGAGAGAAAGAGAGCGAGCGAGCGAGCGGCGCTCTTGCCGCGAGAGCGGCACGTCCCGTTCATCGCAGTATGTAAGGACTTTTTGATCGTCCTCTCGTGTCAAGGAGCGGGAACGGGGTGGTGCGGGGTAGGCGAAGACGAAGGGGCCCCCTCGTGAGGGGCCGCGACACAAATTCCACGCGATTAATAGCGGGCCGCGTGCGCGCGATTCGATCCGCCTGTGGCGGATGTAAAAACAGCCGCGCTACCGCGGACTAGTTATCACTCATCGTCGTTGCAGCGCCGTGTCGACGTCGCCGTGTGCTGTTCTTGCCGCCGCTTGGTCGGTTGGAGTCGAAACGGTGGCGATTGTTTCGCGAAGACATCCGCCGCGCGAACATCGCCGAGGCGCGGGGGCGGGCGCGGGCGCGATCACATCGCGCCGTGATATAAATATTTGAAAGGCCGCGCGATTCGCGCGCGATTTACGTCGCCGCGAATGTTACGAGAGAGAACGCGAGCTAGCCGCGCCGATAGCGCGAGTTGATACAGCTCGTCTCGCCCCCCCCCCACCCCACCCCCCGCCCCGTACCACCGAGATCGCATCAAACTTCCGTTTATAACGTGGAAAATCTTACGTCACGTTTGTTGCCGCAACCCGCACGCACACCTGCGCGCGCTCGCGTGCGTGCACGCGCCACACGGACACGCACGTACGCGCGGCGTGTGTGTGTTTTAGTTATTTTCGTGCCCGGAGCATCAGCATCACAGCCAGATATTGGTCACGACGCAGTGTGGAAAGTCAGTAACCGGCGCGGCGGGTGGGAAACACGGGGGGCGGCGGGCCGGAGGGGGAAAGGGTGGAACGATTTCAGGGTGGTCTGGCGAATGTCTCTTGTCGTTGGCTCGCGGGAGTTAACGCCAAAACCGAAATAACAAACTCCTAAAGCCTGTGAGTTAACGCGCTACTTCTCGCCGAGGTTCCGACGCCCGCGATATTTTCTGTTTATCGTAACGGAAGTCCGCGCCGCGGGAAATATAGTTCGACACCGGCGCGGACTACTCGTCGACACCTCGGAGGCGTGGATCCCGCGCCTCGGTCTCAGCGACGCTGCGGGGGGATCTTGTCAGGCTTGCCGAGCTTCGTCAACGTCACGATACACGACGAACAAGATCGCGTCGTCTTTTCGGAGATGATGTCTTGGCTCAAGACGATCATCGAGAATTCTCGATTTGGGGGAACTAGATTGTTCAAGATATTTGGCACGGCGTGAGAAGTGGACAAAAGTCGGAAGCGCGACGGAAGCGCTCGAAACCGCCGTCGTTGACGTCGGCGTCGAAGCCATAACGGCCCATCCGGGAGCTAGCGAATGTTCAAAGTCGCGAGATGTATTTGATCTATCTCGGCTCGGCCGCGGAGATGCCAAGTATTATCACCGGCCGCTTTTTCCCCCGGCGGCGCCAGCATGGGAATTAGCATCGGTATTCGCGCGCGCGCGCGCGCGAGCAAGCCGCGTGTAATATCGGCCCAACTATTTTTATACGAGCCCCACGGAGGGATGCGCGCTCTCGAAAAAACGCGCGCGGCGCGGTATTCTCCAAATTCCACGCTGGCGAATCATCGGTCCTGGCCGGCCGGCTGGCTCCACGAGCGCTGCAATATACACACGCGCGCCCGCCCGAATATTCCGATTTCGGGCGAGAGTATCGGATAAAAAAATCTCGTCGTCTCGTGGGAGTCGCGCGCGCGCGCGCGCGCGCGTGTGTGTGTGTGTGTGTATGAGCGCGGGATAAAATCATCATTTAAGATATTTCTCGCAGAAATTGTCGGCGCGTCGACTGCGCGTCACCGCACTCGTTCCGGCGTCGATTTATATACTTCGAGCTCCAGACGAGTACCTTTCGCAAAAGTCACGGTGATGTGAAAACCGTTTCGATGCCTCGATGCAAAAATAGAGAGAGAAAGGGTAGAAAATCCAGCAGCAGCATTTTCTGCGGTTTCCATATTCCTCCCCCCCGCCCTCCATCGGGTTAATCGAGTCTCAGAAATCCCGAGTATGTGAATATCGCGCTCGCTCCTTTTTTCCCTCGGGCGCGTGTCGGCGCGGTGTTATGGCGAAAAAGACACGTTCCGTGAGCGCGAAGAATTGCCGGGGCTGTCCCATGAAAGTGTCTATGAGACATGCATGCGATCGCGAGGCTCGCGCGCGCGGCTTGATTGCGCAGAGAGCCGTTGCCTGGCGAGGACGGCGCGCGTTTTGTGCGAGCGAACGAAAAAGTCGCGGAGTCACGAAATGTCACACGTTCGATCCGTGACAAGGAGCGTGACTCGGGTCGAGACTCTCTCCTCTAATCGCCAGGGATTCCTCGCGACTCGACGAAGAAACGCGCGTCCCGCGGCAAAAAGCCGGGGCTGCCACGGCGGCGGTTTTCTATCCGCCGGCGTGGATTTTTGCGGAGGAGATTCCGCTACACACCGTGGAAAATCAATTGATGACGCGCGGTAACGATACGAGATCGCGTCGATCCGCGTACACGGCCCGTCGTCGTTTCGCTTTAATGCTCCAAAAGAAGGAGCGCGTCGCGAGGTTGCGTGATAAAATCAGCGACGTGGAATTATAATGTGACTATCAGGACGGTCGCGCGCGCGCGCGGTGTCGCTCGGTCAGGCGGTAGCGAGCGAGCGAGCGAGCGAGCGAGTTTGCGGCTCGACACGACACGGAAATCCAACATCCAATTTCTAATTCAATTCCGCGACGTAAATATACAAACGCGCCGTGTCCGAAGTGACGCGGAAAGTTTTTGCGGTCGCCGTGCGCGCGGGATGAGTGCCTCCGTCGTCGCACTGCTACCGCTAAATCGAGCGAAACAAACGAAACGTCGCCTGCCACGTAAACCCGCGCACGCGTCGCCGGGAATCGCTTAGTAAATCGCGACAAGTCCCGGGATTACTTTAGTATTTTTTTTTTTAGAACGACGCTCTCTATATATTTCTCTTTCTCTCTCTTTGTCGCACGAGCTTGTCGCGCGAGTTGACATAATCTTCGACGAGCATTTTTCGCGGTGAAACATCGTCGACTGTCGTCGTCTACTCTAATCAATTTTGCATTGATTTTTACATTGATTTTTTTTTTATTCCGGTCAGTTGCTTCTGAAGAAATTTGAAAAAAATTGTCAATCTGTCGTGTCATTTTTGACAATCCCCATTTTTAATATTTCCATGTGTCGCACGGAACTCGGTCGGTTTGTGCGTGTAGTTTGGTCGACTCTCTTCGTACGACCGACATTTAAAACCGCCAGCCTCAATTGGCACGTGGCAATTTATCGGGATTTCACGCGAGTCGCGCGAGGCTCGCTTTGCGATTTTCCACGGTTCGCCGGCGTGTGACATTATTCACGTTGCGTTCGAGGTCGCGGACACGCGCGCGGCTCGAAATTTCCGGCGCGCCGGAGGCCGTCGCTTCTCGCGTAACGGCGAAGTGAGGATGGACCGACGGGATATAAACACGTGCCGAATCGCTTCATTAAGCAGTGGGCGGCTCGTAAGAAAGCCGACCGACTGTGTGCGTCCATGTGCGTGTTTCACGCGGGCGTACGTTACGACGTAGCGCGTGTTGCATCATGCGATTGCAAACGCGCGCGCGCGCGCGCGACCTCCCAGTTGACGAGGATGGCGACAATCACGACCACGATTACAACGAAGATTACGACGATATTGATGGTCGTCGCGTGATTGCCACCGTCGCTGGGAACGCGGCGTCGCGAATGACTGAATATCGAATGTACGCTTTCCTGAAATTCTCATGCGGCTCGAGGTCGCTCTGCTGTGCGCGCGCGCGAACAGTATGTCCGTTAATGGAACGTCTACGTTGAGTTACGAGTTACGCGCTTGAGCGTTTCGATCAAATTTTCGCGTCGACGGGGATTCTTCGGGAAATTACCGAGCACCTGATACTTCGCGTATCAGGCCCTGTGAAACGTATTTTGCAGCCATTCCGAAGAAAACAAGTAATTACCGTAAAGTTTCTTCTTCCTCTCTCGTTCCCCTCCCCGCCCCCCTCCCCCCATTCGGCTCCGCCGTTTCACAAATACGCTAAGCTCCGATATATCGAGCAACACCCGCTCGCGCACCCGGATGCGCAGCGTGACGCGGAGCCCGAGGAGATGTTAGCGCCATACTCGATACTTTGAAGCGGT